GGGACCTGTGGCTCACCCTGCTGTTAGAAACTGTGTTCTGTCGAGGGCTACCGGCGATTTGCGGGGATCCCGGATTGTTCGCTCTCGCCGACAGGAGCTGGGATCTCCTCCAAGCGATCACCCCAACGAATGAAGCGTACGTGATGGAGGAGGTGCGCTCCCTCATGGGACAGCTCATTGACCAGGTGAGGGAGAAGCAGCTTCAGCCTCCTGCCTGGTCAGAAGCCACCCCGCCGCTACCTTCCTGTCCCGGGTGACGAAAAGGAAAGAAGCGACGGGGAAGAGACAGAGGCCAGCCCGACGATCGCTGTGGGGCGATGTCTGCTCTCCCCAGCTTCTCTACTAGCGGAGACGTCCCGAGTATGACGCACCGGTGTGTGCACAAAGCCCCCAACGCCGTCCCGAGAGCTCTTAAAGGGGCGGCGCTTAGTCGCTCGGCGCCCCTCCTGACTCCTGTGCCGGATCTACCTGTTCCGGTCCTGCCTGACCCGCCTGTCCTGCCTGACCCGCCTGTCCTGCCTGACCCGCCTACTGGCCGCACGCCCGAGGCGCCTGCCGAGGCGCCCCCTGCTGGCCGCGTGATGGCGGCGCTCGCCATGGCGCCCCCTGTTGGCCGTGTGATGGCGGCGCCCGCCGCGGAGCCCCCTACTGGCCGCGTGATGGCGGTGCCCGCCGGGGCGCCCCCTGCTGGCTAGGAACTGAGGGTGCCCGCTGCAGCTTCGCCTGAGGGCCTGGCTTCGCCTCCGCCTGCAGCGGAGGAAGCCGCTCTGCCCGAGGCGCCCCCTGCTGGCCACATGGTCAAGGTGCCTGCGGCAACGCTCCCCAGGGTTCCGGAGCCACATCCCTGCCGGGAGGCTATAAGCAGATTTCGTCTCCTGCAAGAGCGATACTGGCAGGCAGTGGCGAACCAGCTGTAAAGGACTCCCTGGAGGCAGCTCCGCTCCTGGAGCAACTCCGGAGGGAGTTTGCTGCCGTCGCCCCTGATGCCCCGCTCCAGCAGCTAACCCAGGCAGAGAAAACCCTGGGGCAGCTGCTCTGTCTGCTGCCTGCTGCCGCCGCTCCTCCTGCGGTGCCCCCTGGTGGCCGCACGTCCGCTCTGCCCGCGGCCCTGCCTGAGGCCACCACTTCGCCCGACCAGCCCTGCTCATCTATCCAGCCCGACTCTCCGGACCTGCCTGTCCAGCCCTGCCTGTCCAGCCCTGCTCGTCTGTCCAGCCCGACTCTCCGGACTTGCCTGTCCAGCCCTGCTCGTCTGACCAGCCCGACTCTCCGGACCTGCCCGTCCTGCCCTGCTCGTCGGTGTATGAGGCGGCACCACCGGCCGCCTCCCAAGGAGAAAAGACTCCTGAAGCCCCAGCACCGGCCCAAGTCCCCGAGGAGGTCCCGGACAATGGGACCACGCCTGTCAGTGTTCCATAAGGGATGGGGCCACAGGCGTAGGGCCCGGTTCCCGCCCGCCCTGCCCCCTTGCTCGCCCTCGTCCACCTTGGTTGGGGCTCCGGGGTCGCCGGCTGCGCCTCCAGCTCGGGGTCTGCGGTCGCCTCCGGGTCCCCCCACGGTGCCTCGGTGCCGGTCCTCGGTCCCGCCTCCGGCGCCATGTCGGTCGCCTCCGGGCCCACCTGCTTCGGCGGGCTGTATGGTTCCCTCCGGCTCCCTTCTCCCTCTCGCCTGCGGCCCCTCCAGCCGCCGCCCGTCGCCTGCTTGTGTTCCCTCGGGCTCCGCTCCTTCCTCCTCCCTTTCCTTTCATCCCGCCTGTCTCTGCCCCTTGTCCCTCTGTTCCTCCTCTGTTCACCCCTGGCCCCTTTGTGTCGCTTGTGGGTGTTCCGTCTGTGGCCCCTGTGTCTCCCTTCCTGGTTTGTCTGTCGGCGTTTCCTGTTCTCTGTCAGGTCCTGTCTTTCGGTTGGTCTTTGTTCTTGTTCTGTGTCTCGGTCCCGTTTCCCGTGTCTCGTTAATGGTTTTGCTCTTGTTTTTCAGGTCCTGTTCCCCCCCGTTTTGTCTCCTCCGTCGCTGTGTTCCTTCCTAAATCATTTTTTAAAAACTTGAATTCACTCATCTTACCTTTTTTATGGGGCAATAAAACACATAGAATTGCTAGGAAACATCTTTGTAAGTCTAAAATAGAGGGAGGGTTAGCACTTCCAGATTTTTGTTTTATTATTGGGCTTCGCATATAAAATTCGTGACACACTGGTTAGCGGACAGCGGCAATCCCCTCATATGGTTGCAACTGGAGCAAGAAGCTTGTCAGCCTTACTGTATTGGAGCTATACTGTTGTCTCCCCTGCCCAGTGATAAGTCTTTGTATGATGACAATGTGGTGATACACAGCACCATACGTATTCTTAAGCAGATTAAACTACACTTTAATTTGGAGTCTTTATCCTCTATTACGCCCATTGTAGGTGTGGTAGAAAAATTATAAATCAAGCACTTAGAATAAAAGTCTGGACCTCTTAGTTTGGCGAGTAAAGAAAATCTCTTATTCCAGCAAGTTCAGCAAAGCGCTCCCATCACACTCTGGCACTTGGTACCAAGTCACCCCCCCGGCACACAGAGCAACCAGTAGATAAACCATAACTACCAGGACTTCTAAGTCCTGATTGGTCATGAAACATCAACAAACTAAGCTGAAACGTATAACAAACACAATTCTCCCGCTCCATTGGTTCACTTTAGTAGCAAGGTAAAATCCACCCATTGTACGCAACTTACTGGAGACAGCCTCGGCTTCTAGACTCTACATGAGATATGTATATAGATATTAATTATATGACATTGAATCACTGTTAATGTTTGATTAATGATTAACACATTGAGGTATTGTCCCTGAATCGCTGAAAATACATGGTTAACATATGATTAGTATGATTAACATGATGCGATCAATTGCATATAACATATTATATATTGACTACTACTATTCTATTAAGCTATAACTCTTTGTGCACCAGTTGGGGCGGCTTCGAGTCTCTTCCTGCAAGTGGTCTCTCCCCCCCTTTGCTCCACTGTCTGCCTCTCCAAGGTCCGAGCTTCTGCGGAGCCAACTGCAGGCAGCTATCACAAAGCGAGGTCACACAGTATTCAAAACAATCTCTTCTGGCCTAAGGCCTAANCGAGCTTCTGCGGAGCCAACTGCAGGCAGCTATCACAAAGCGAGGTCACACAGTATTCAAAACAATCTCTTCTGGCCTAAGGCCTAAGACATAACAGACCCAATATGCCTCCCCTCCCGGGCCTACTAATGTCCAATTTTACTTCCACACTGGCAATCCATCTTTTAAACCATCTATCCCAGATAATACATTTAAACTTTGGAAACAGGTAGGACTTTGCACAATCAGTAATTTATACCAGGAGGGTGTCTTTGCCTCTTTCAAGCAGTTACAATAGATATATAAGCTACCAGGGAGAGACTTTTTCAGATACCTGCAGATAAGAGATTATGTCAGGAAATACGTACAGGGTTTTGAGAGTCTTAACATTTCCTGTCTTGATAAGTGTCTCCAACTTTCACCTCGTAGTGAGAAATTTATTTCTCACACCTATCAGAATCTAATATCAATGAGCCCTGTGAACTTGTCCTAATCAAATCTAAATGGGAAGAAGAATTAGGAATCACAATCACAGACATTCAATGGGAAGAAGGTTTGCAGAATATCCATAAATGCTCCTACAATGCAAGACACTGCTTGATTCAATTTAAAGCTTTACACCGTCTACACTTTTCAAGAGAAAGGTTAAATAAAATATACCCTAAGGTCTCTCCTATCTGTGAGAAATGCTCCCTAGCTGAAGATACGTTAAGCCACAGTTTTGTTTTTTGTCCCAAGGTTAAAAACTATTGGGCTGACATCTTTCATTTATTGTCTCAAATTCTTCGTGTGCAGCTGAAACCTGATCCACTAACAATTATTCTGGGCATCTTTGATGATGCTGTGGGTGCAAAACGTTGTTTTATATCCGATTGTATTATCATTGCGAAGAAACTTATTCTCACTCATTGGAAGAAGAGAGATACACCTCCCTTAAAGCTCTGGCTTAACGACCTTGTAAACACATCACATCTGGAACGAATACGATATACTCTTTGTGACAGACTCTCCTCTTTCAGTAAAATTTGGGCACCTCTCTCTACATTTCTACAGCATAACCAGCAGTTATAGTTTTTTGGCTTCTCATTATGACGAACTAACTGGACAGCTGGGACTGGGACTGGGGTTGTGGGTGTGGGTGTGTGGGAGGGTATCGTATCATATTATGTTGTGTTTTGTGATGCTATGTGATATTAATGTGCAAAAAAAACAGAGCAAATATCTGATTCTGTAAACTCATTGTCATACAACATGTGAACTGCTCAATAAATATATCTTGGAAAAGAAAAAAGAAAAAAAAAACAGTGCACGTTAACCAGCAGCTACTTTCAAGCCATTTCCAAGCTGCTGCTCTGCACTGCTAAAATTCTGATTTTATAATCCCAATGTCTGCTAACAGAATCACCATACACATAATTTAAAAACAGTTGTGCTGTGATTTTACCTTTATTTACATAAATGATCCAAGAGAGATTTAACTTACTCTGAGAAAAAGTTGGGTTTGCAACATTGCTAGTTGCTTCTTTGGAAAAAAAAAGTCACTAAATGGTTCTGAAAAGTCATTAAGCGGCCAACACTGCTGCGGATTTTTCAAAAGAAAGCCTCACAGATGCCTGCAGATTTTCCTGACTCGGTAGTATTAAATGTTACAGTGCTGAGGGGGACTAGGGGACAAATGTCTCATATAAATACACCCTTTTCTGTACATTTGAATTTGGGTCTGTCACAGCAATGCTGAAAGTTGTTAGACAAAATTGACTGAGAATGAGGTGGTTCAGTCATAGTCATTTATTTTCCCCGATTGCGGTGACAGATAAACAGTGCGAAAAAAGAAATAAATTTGAAAAAAAGAATGAAAAACAAAACTGAAAACTGGTAAGTAAAACAAAAGACCAACAAAGCCGCTAGACTAGGCAAACAGTACATTCCACATATGACACTGGGATTCAGGCTACGTCCACAGCCAGCCAACTACCAAATGAACCCATGCTCCTTAAATAGAAAGTTAGCCTTTCACACTCAAACTTTCAGCTTAAATGCCTCAGTATTTTAAACATTTTAATTTAAACCATACACCTGCAGTAAACTACACCTCATTACATACAGTTCCTACAATTGTTTGACTAGGTTTTTAACAGAAACAAAATGCATAAAGTACAAATATAACTGGACACTCTCCTTGACAGCAAAAATTCCACAGTTTTGTAAATTTCTGGCATGAAATAAAAACTTCAATTCCTAATATTTACAAATTATGTGGTCCTTTGATCCTCCTGGTGCACTGGGTGAAACTGGTAAGTGAAACAAAAACACCATTCGTCTTGTAACCACTTGTTCAGGGTCATGGCATACCATCCAGCCAAACTTCTCACAGCTGAGTAAGTGTCTGAGAGTCCATGTCTCGTGTTTGATCTTCCTCTGCAGGTACCTCTGCTTTAAGTTGTATAAAATTTAGTCCCTAAACCATGTATGTTTATGATTGCTTTGTTTCGTACAAGATCATAGAAGCTGAAATGCAAATGTGACGAAAACCATCTGATATGAACTGACGAGTGTGCTAGCATGCTAAAACAGTCCTGCTTAACTCCTCACAGCTGAGTAAGTGTCTGAGAGCCTGTGTCTCGCGTTTGATCTTCCTCTGCAGGTACCTCTGCTTTCTTCCACAGCCGCTTCAACTGCTTCTGGCAGATCTTCTTGAATATCGGGCTGTAGAAATAGTAGACAATGGGATCTAATGTGCTGTTGAGGTAAGTCAAGCTGATTGTGTAGAAAAAGAGTGTTTGCAGGACCATGTAGTCTTCACAGTTTCCAGGGTAGAAGGTGACTTTGATCCAGATGACCACCTGGGTCAGGTTGCTGGGAAAGAAGCATAAGAAAAACACCACTACTACCACAATGATGAAGCGAAGTGTCCTCCTGATCCTTTGGTCCTTGTCCATCTGCCTGTTCTTCAGCTGTGTGATGATCCGGATGGTGCAGAACAGGATTATGGCCAGAGGCAGGTAAAAGGAGAAGACGAAGATAGACTTGTGCCAGGTAAAATAAAAAGTGGATTTTTCGCAAATCTGGAAGCTCTCGCACTGGGTTGAGTTCCCACTAGGGGTGATGTGCATGTCGAATACCAGGTGGGCTGTCTGGGAGATGGTCAGCGCCCAGATCGCACAGGCAGCACCCACGGTCTTTCGGACAGACATCGAATTGAGAGGGTGGTGTGGGTGAACCACCCGCAGGAACCGGTCTACAGCCACTGCTGTCAGGAACAGGATGCTGCCACAGCGGTTCATGGCCAGCATGAAGAGGGAGATGCGGCAGAAGATATCCCCGAAGATCCAGTCTCTCCCCATCAGGTAGTAGCTGGCACGGAAAGGCAGGATCACGTTCAGGAGAAAGTCAGCAAGGGCAAGATTGAAGAGGAAGACGGTGCTGCTTTTCCAAGGTTTTAGGCAAAAGCAGAAGATCCAGAGAGCCACACCATTGCCTATCATTCCCAGGATGAATTCAATGCAAATTATTGGAGACAAAGTTTTAAACAGACCCCCACCAAAGACACAGCAGTTGCTAGATGTTGTGTTCATCATGCTTGCCGGATGAATATAATTTTTTTTTCAGAAACAGAGCAACTTGAGACGAGAAAGGAAACAAGTATGGGGAAGTCACTTAAAGACACCCTAAAATGAAACTAGCACAAATGAGCACAATGAGAAACGAAGCAGATGAGACTGCATCTGACTACTGACTATTTGGCAACCAAAAGACAATAGGCTGTATGGATCCCTTTAATATCTAAGACCCTGCTGGCTGTCATCTTTGTAATTTATTTCGGATTTACAAACAAGTGTTACTATGAAGCACAATCCTACTTCTGGTTCCATCTGGTGCCACACTTCCTCTAGCAAAAATTATTATTATGTAGAACCTCAGTGAGGATGAAAAAAAGACCCACAAGACGTGGAGACTGGATGTATAAATGGCATTTCTGAACTGGCAAAAGTGTGCATTTGGGAGTGTTCCCTGTGTTCCCTGTGATGCGGTGGCATTTCATCCTACTGGCCCCTGACTCGTACCCACTGCTATCTGGGATAAGTTCCATGCTTGTGTTGACCCAGAACTGGATAAACAGTTAAGGAGAAATGGTAGAACAGGCATATCACCTACTGCTATCTGAGGATTTCTGGATGTAAGCTACATAATGAAGTGGTGGGGGAAGGGGGGGGCGCACAACATTTCGATATCCTATTGCCTGTTTTGCTGCTGATTACTCTTATCTTTCAGGCTATCAGTCAAAAACTTCTGGTTTCCAAAGATACCTGTGACCATCATGTGGATTTATGAACCTTCTGCGAGGTGGATCTAGGGTTCTCAGTATTTCTGCAGATATTCTCCTGCTCCAGCAGCGGGATGCATAAACAAGCAAAACACGGGCAAGAGCTTATGAGACACAGCATCATTCTACAGTTCCTGTGAAAGTCTATTATCGCTAAACTTGTGATTAAAATAGGATGAACAAAATGCAGAACACACCAGTCATTCAAGCGCATGGAAGTTTATTTACAGCTTTGAACTTGAATAGCATGCAAAAAAAAATAAGCAAAACAGCAATTGCCTCATGGTAACATTGTTTTTCTGATCAGTCATGTCCTTTGTTGAGAAATGCCTGCAAAGAATAGGAAAGAAAAGGTCCCATTTTCAAACTATTTTTAACGACAGGATCGGTGACACTTTCAGGGTTACCTTCACATTGAATGTAACTATAAGAGCACTAAACCATCTTCAAACGCATCAGTGGCCTTCGATTGGCCCCTGGTGACACCACACCACCCCTCCCCCTTACAGAAGGCATGCATGGAGGTACCTTTAGGACTTCCTGTGCGGCAGACTCTGATGGTAAGTGCTTGACCCCCCTCCTTCTTCCTGTACTCACATGCACACACCTATGGGCAATTTGGTAACTCCATTTAGCCTTAGCATGTTTTTGGAGTGTGGGGTGGAGACTGGAATACCTGCAGGAAACCTCATGACGACACGGGGAGAACATGCAAACTCCACCCACACGGAACCCCTGGCAGAGACTCGAATCTAGGTCCCAGAGGTGTGAGGAAACAGTGCTAACCACTGGGCCACTGTGCCACCCTGTATATAACTGTTTACAGTGACCTAAAATGGCCTGTACCTTTCCTGCTTTGTAAATGAACACAGTGCTAAAGATTCAATGAATTAGTACCTCTCACTTCTAATCCCAAAGGGACTGCTGTACCCTTGATATGGTAACTAAAAAGTATATATTTTTACGATGTTCGGTTTTAAGTGTCTACTGAAGTAAAGGTGGGTGCTAATAACTGAGGATTAACTAATCAATTACATTTATATTTAAGCAATATTATAAGTGAGGGTCAGAGAGCAGGGTCAGAGTTTCCTTGGAGCAGTTGGGGTCAAAGTAGGGCTGGGCGATATGGACCAAAAATCATATCTCGAAATTTTTTGGTAAATGGCGATATATGATATATATCTTGATATTATTTTCTATGAAGTAATACCAAAAAACAATTCTGGGTCAAAGCCACATGTACCAACGGTCCTTTTATTAAAAACAAACGAAAATATATAATATGTAAACATGCTCTCTGATTAAAAAAATAAAATGTAAATATAACAGATACAGAGCAAAAAGAATGAGTGTCAAAGTGCTTCCTCTTTTACCATAACCTGTACAAACAAAACTGACTGAACAAAATTGTTCAACACCTGGTCAGTGTATCCTGTGTAAATCTCAAATAACAAGTCAAATATTGAGAAAATAAATAACAACAAGCAAGGACAACTCACAGATTTTGTGCCAGGAAAACTAGCCTATCAACAGTGTCAGGCTTCAGGGATTCTCTGTGGCAGGTTACAATGTTCCCAATGTTCTCACTGCAACTGAAAACCCTTTCAGAGGGGGAACTGGTGGCCTGCACACAAAGATACTTCCTGGCTAGGCAGCTCAGTGCTGGATAGGCAACTTTATGTTCCTTCCACCATTTGAGATGGTCAGCATCACTCTCTGTACAAACTGACAGCAGATAGCTAGAAAGTTCATTTTCTATTTTCTCCCTCTGCGTGAAAGTGGTGCTGGTGGCTGTGCTGTGCCTGCCACTGATTTCTTCTTTTTAGCTGTGGGTGGCACTGCCCCCGCCGATTCTCCTCGATCTGCAGGCTCAGGCACAGTTGGGTCAGGCAACTCAGACAAACATCTGTCCTGATCATTCAGCAGAGACTCCGCTTCCAAGATGACTTTATGTTTCAGTGCATGCATTTTCTCACTCTGGATGCATTTGGCCCTGAACCGTGGATCCACAAAAGAAGCAATGTCCAACAGGTCACTGGTGGGTGGGTCTGCATATTTACTGTTGAGGTAATCCACAATGCTGGTCTTGATGTATTTAAAGAGCTCAGTATCCCCCTCTTCATGTGCCAGGAGACTAGTGTTGAACAGGTGTAGCACAGGTCTGACGTATGAGAGAGTCATGTAGTCTTCTCCTGAAAGTGCGTCAGTGAAGTCTTGAAGGGGTCTCAGAGCTTTCTGAACTGCCTCCAGGACCTCTATGTCCTGCCAGGTGGGAACAAGATGTCTGGTTTTCTTATCAGCAGACAGCACCCTAGCAAGCGCTCTTTCCTGCTTCAGGACTGAATCATTTGCAGCCTTGAGCCCCAGCGAGTGGCTGCTTCTGTGACGAGCTGGTGACCCGGCAGACCCCACTGCACCTGCATTTCAGCCAGTTCTCTCCTCTTCTTCCAGCTGTAGGAGAAGCTGCTGACAACTCTCTGACACAGAGAGACAGCCCGGGTAATGCGGGAATCATCCATACCTTGACCTGTAACAAAATTGAAGAACACTTTAATAATCACTTTCATTTATTACATAAAGAGGCAGATCACTAAAAGGCAACATCACATCTTCTTGTGTTTAACCCTTGGGGCTTTTTGAGTGTTTTTCCCTCCCTTTGTTTTTAGGCTTATTATATTGTCTGTGTGTAAGTTAGGCATGCATGCTTTATGTTTTTGTTTTCAGGACATCCTGGACTACTCAGATATGTCATCATTGTGTGTGTAAATGCTGACACAGACTTAAAATCACCCTGTTTTTAAAAAATATTGAATTGCGCCTGTAGAAAATTACTTATTTTTAGCTTTTTACAACATGAAAAGATGTTACCAATAACCCTATAAGTGGTGAGTATTGAGAAACAGTGTCGTTGGTATGCAAAATTTTTATTAGGAGCCATTCAGAGACCTAATATCATGAAGAAAAATAAGATTTGTGCCAGGCGGAAAATCATTTTGAATCCAACAATGATACAGAATTAACTTGTGACATCCAGCAATGCACCCTTTTTTTTGGTATTATATTATTCTTTTGATTACTCCTTAACATTAAAAATGGAAAAATAGTTTTGGATCATTTTAGGTAAAAAAATAGTGACGTTTTGATCACTGTTGAGCCAATTTTGGCTCATTTTAGCACCTAAAATTACCAGCTTCTAACCATTCTGGAAGTGGCCTGTTTTACGAAAACGCAATGAAAATGTCCTATCCAAGACTCCGTAATCAGGATGTAAGCTGTGTTATAGTAGCGCTTAGCTTAGCATACAGTCTATTCTGCTTGTAATGTATATAGACTTGTGTTGTGTAATGTGTAAACTACAAATGTTAGTTAAATTGTTTTGGCAAAGCACTAGTACTACCACTAAAGCACTGAAACAGCTGTATATTTATATTAGTATATATTTTAAGATCATGCAATCTCAAAAATATAGCCTTGTCTCCCCTCAGCTGGTGCTATCATTAACTGTCACAAACCTCACAGTATATGCACAATAAATGCACACACACTCCAATAGGTCTGATAGTCTATGGAACAAACTTTAGATTTCAGAAATGATAGCTTTTTCACGTTTCAAATATATTGTGTTGTGGTCAACAGGCATAATTACGCTGTGTGGTTCTTGCTGCAAACAAAGTTTATACTGAATCTAATACCTGGCAACTTTTTTCTGATTTAAAATCAGTTTAATCAATATTGCACTCACCAATAGCCAGATGAAGCCTGTGTCCAAAACACTGCATCCTCAGCCACCCGTTCAGTGGCACCGCTTTGACAACGTTACTGCCGTTGTCAGTTGTTATAGCAACCAGTCCTGTCGGCTCGAGCTTCCAGCTTGCAAGGACGTCCTGGAGGGCCTCGGCTATATGCTCCCCGGTGTGGTCTTTGGGAAAGCAGCTGGTTTGCAAACAGGCACTTCTCATTTCCCAGTCTTCCATGAAATGTATTGTCACCGTCATGTATGGCTCGCAGGTCCTGTAGCTGGACCTCATGTCGGTGGTCAGCGCAAAGTGAGACGCTTTCGCCAGCCGGGCGCCGAGGCTCTCTCTCACATTGGTATACATTTTTGGCAGTACTTCTTTTGCTAAGTAATTTCGACTGGGCAACTGATACCTTGGGTCAATGGTTTTTAGCAGCTGTATGAAGCTGTCCTGTTCGACAGTCGCGATTGGGACCATGTCCTTAGCGATATGGAAGGCCACTGCTTTAGTAATATTGCCCCATTTCTCACTCTGCTTTTCATAAGGCACAGAACGAGTAAATTAATTTTGTACGGTGGTTTGTTTCGGGGCAGGAGGCGGGAGAGGCTTCACAGACTGAGTTGCAGCACGCAGTTTAACACACTCTTCATACTGTACTTTATGGCGCTGCTGTAGGTGGTGGAAGAGATTAGTCGTGCTCGGCATTCTCTACAGAAAACTTTATTCTGCTGTTCATCTGCCACTTTGAACGCAAACCATTTCCAAATAACAAAGCCATTATTTTTCCTCTTTACCACAAGCTCCTCTTCAGCAGTTCCGTCCAGACATGCCTCCATCTTGTCGCTCACTACACGTTTTGGCGGGAGGGATGCACTGTTCCCAGACTCGCGTAGTGGGGGAGGGGCAACGAAGTTGTGACATACAGATGGATGGGGAAAAAAAGCGATCTGCCGGACCTCTGAGTATAATTTCACCGCAACATAAACTATATCGATATAAAAGATATTGTGTAATCCTATATCTCGTATGAAAATAACTCGATATATCGCCCAGCACTAGGTCAAAGGCCTTGCTCAAGGTCCCAACAGTGACGCCACTCTGCCAGCCATAGGCAGAGAGCCCTGACCTGCAGAGATGCATGCAGTCTAATAAGAAACATAAGATGACTGACCATTTCCTGCTGATAAGACAGTCCACCAGATCGCGCACTTGGCTGTAATGGCCGCATGACACTATATGCTCCTTGAGGAGGGGGAACAGCTTGGTATTCACCAGCTTCTTGTGAAGTCCGTTCTGGTAAATGAACCTCAGCACGGTCTCTTTGATCTGGCAGGACAAATAAATAAACAAACCAAAACAGACAGACAACCTTTAAGGGGATTCCTGCCAACTCTCCCATACTCATGTTCCCCTCTACCTGCTCAAGGATAGTGACCAGGTTACAGGAGGATAGGAAGCACTGCATGAAGGAGCTTTTGAGCTCTGAGTTTAATTGTTAGCTGTGCCTTTCTAGCCATTACAAGTATAAAAATAACAAATATTTATCAATTCTAACATCAGTTGTGATAC